AAAAAAAAAAAAAAAAAAAAAAAAAAAGAGCAGAGAAAACCAGGATCCCTGGTGACCTGTTACCAATAGGAAGAGGAACTTGCCACTTCAAGCAGACAGAAGTACAACTGAAAAAAAATTGACATGCCACTGAGTTTATTTCCCCAGATTAAGCCCTTATAACCATATTATCATCACATGATGCAGTAAACACTTGACTTCTCCATGTTAAAGAATGATGGCAAACAACAGCATCAATAAGAACTATGCTTCCTTCATGAAGTAAAAAAAAACTTTGCCAGTTAAAACAGGAAAGTTTTGGGATAAGATAACAGAGGGGGAAAATATTTTGGAACACTTCTGTGAAACAGTAAAGCATGCTATGTGTCACAGCAAAGGTCATTAGTTCATCTTAAAATGCAAGCAAAGAATAGGCCACAGTGAAACAGAAATTAACTAAATAAAATTCTAGGCAGGTAGACTACACAATAGTACACGAAGCTGCCTGACCTAGATCTTGAAGGAAGTATATGCTTGTCCTCCCTGTAACAGTACAGCAGCAAAGTGCTATTTTATTCAGTTTCACTTTACCCTTTTTACACGAGCAGAGCAAGTAAGGTTTATGGCAATTGTCCAGTTTCACATCCCTGCTCCATTTGGGCATAGAACCAATCATCCAAAAAGCAAGGGCAAAAAAAGAATATCCAACTAAGCCAAACTTTTACCAAAACAAAATATTAACTAAAATGAAAAAAAGAGAGATAATTAAATGCATAGCATAGCCATTACCCACAGTTCTTTCAGATTTTTTATGTGAAGGAAAAATAGTTTGCTTTTATAGATCAATTATACAACCAGAGGAAAATAGAAAGGATTCAAGATCTCCTTTATTCTAGCATAACCTAGAGAGAAAATACTACATGTCAAAATATTAACATTGTGTTCCAGCCATATCTCTAACAAACAGAAGCTGCTCAATTCTGCAAAAGGTTACTCTTTGAAATGGAAAGTCCACAACAGTTAAACTAGCATTGCAAGAGAATGTGAATATCAAGCTATCGACACAGACTTTGTTTTCACAAAATAAGTTCCCAACTCCAAAAGGTATATGACTTCAAATATTAGGTTTCTAAAACATAAATTAGAAAAAACTTCAATATATGGTGGGGACCTACCTAAGATATTCCAATAAAATTCTGAATGAAACTTACTGAATTCAGAAGAAAACCTCCAAGGTGTAGACAGTTCATAAAAACATACTTGTACCTTAGAGGAGGGGTTTAAATGGCATTTATGTATTGTTCACACCTTGCACTGTCCCTTCTCAGAAGAGGAAGTTTCATGCCTTGTCACCAGAACCACTATCCAAATTTTAACTTTTAAGAGGTCATTCTTTTCTTAAAGATTGCTTACCTTTCTGACATCTTAAGGATACTTCATGCCAGCTGCCTTCCACTTCACTAATCAAATGGACTACACTGAAAGAAAAAAGAGGAAGCTAACTCCAAATCTATGCTAACCATGCTATAAAGTAAGTAACATGCAGAAAGTCATTTGATCGAGGTACTACAACACTTCATAATAACCTTTTCTGGTTTCATGCCCAAACTTAAACCTCATTAAGGTAACAATCATACCAAGGATCAGGGCACTTGAACAAGTTATCAAGGGGTTAGCCAAGGTATGGACTTAAAATACAATCAACTCCTGCAGGGTAAATGCCTGTGTGCGTGCTTTTACACCTCAGTAAAATGGAAGGCAGCTCGCATTTAAACAAAGGAGTAAGTGGCTACATCATAACTAGGGACCTACTGAAAACTCAAGTTCATGAAGTCAGGCACTGCCAGCAAAAGCGGGCAATGCCCAACTGCCTCCCGCAAAAGAAAACCTTACTGAAAATAAAATGCTGGCTCCCCAGAGGGAGACAGCAGTCCTCACTGTGCTGCAGCCTGCTGCTGGGGGGACAGGAAGCTGCACACAATGGGCAGCCCAAGATGGCTGACACCCCCCCTCAACTTTGTGGGGGGATCTGTCATATGGTCCCACCCCTCTTTGCCAATCAGCAGCAAGGGGCGGGGCTACAAAACAGCCCTTACAGCCAATCAGTGGTGAGGAGTGGGCCACCAGGGCCTGTTGGCCATTACTCTCTGCCCATGGAAATGGCTGCCAGGTTTGTATTTTCCCCACAAAATCAGCTGGCAGCCACTGAGTTCAGTAGGTCCCAAATCATAACAATCAAACAATAGACTCTAGAGCTTTTCAGATGGATAAAAAAAAAAAATCATCTCTATCTGTTTGTCTGATAAGAAACTCCATGAAGAAGCATTCCATCAGTTCATGCAAAGTGGATAAAACATAATGACTTCCTTACTTAAATGAAAGATCTGATTTAAACAGAGGTTTCTCTCTTTAAAAACAAAAAAAACAAAAAAAAAAACCCTATGAAAAATATAGGTTGTCCAATTCAAACTTAAAGGCACAGATTTACTCTGCATTAATTTTAAGTAAGCAGTACACATTTTCAGCTTACACATTTGGATTGAAGCAAGAAAGTTTTTATATATATTTTCACTATGTCCTCACCTTTTATATCTATTTATTCAGTTTCATAATTTGGGATAAACTAGCCCAAAGGTGACCAACCTGTGGCATACCAGCCACAAGTGGCATGGGCAACTTCTGTGTGCGTTATGTAACAGATTAGAGAGGGGACAGACAGTGCCAGATAGGGCAGGAAGCAGAAAACAGAGCAACAAACAGGACAGGGGAAGGAAATTGGAGTGGCACTCATGAAGGGCACGGGGCTCATTTGTGGCACACCTGCCAAGAAGGCTGGCTCTCACTGAACTAGCCCAACCTGAATTATGTGCCATCAGAGCTAAACTCTGTTACTAGTACTAGAACTAGACTATTTAAAACTTGCTTACACCATCTCTACAATATGCTGCAGTCTGCAAAATACATAGGCTAACATTTCTACTTCCATTCATAAAATGATGACTGGATTTTAAAGAATCTACCTGTAGAAATAACTCACAAGTGTTTACCTGGAAAAGTAAAATAGCATCAAATCAAAGGAATCCTATTGCACTGTAACATGCTCAAAACAAGTTGAAGATTCTACAGGTACAACTTTTAACCTGTTTAGTAGGTCTGTTTACTTCCATACATTTAATTTCCAAAGGTATTGTGCAATATGGATGAGTTTTTGTAATGGAATATTTAAACAAGGAGTTGCATCTCTTTACTGTGCTCTGTAACACAGTATACAGATGCTTCTGTGACTATTAATTTTAAAATGTATTAAAAGTAAATGTGTGTTAAAGTTACTATATAGACACCCAGGCCATTTTAATTCCATATTTTGTACCTAGAAAAAAAGCTACAGGCATGAGAGTCTGGTGCTGAGGCTTATGGGTCTGCAGCTGTCTTGGTGGTTTTCTTGTGTTTGTTGCTGTCCCTCTTCTTGCCTCCTGTCCCTTGGGGTGGAAGCCTGCATGTATGCAGCGGCTTTGCAGGGCAGGTGAAAATGTCAGGGCATGCAGTCAGTGGGCTGAGAGAATCAGGGATAGGCAGGGCCTAGCAAT